GGCAATACAAGTCAAATTCCACACAATGGGAATTAACTTCACCAAAACAATGCATATGCATGCACATCACTAGCATGCAACATCAAATCAGTCTATGAAATACATCAATTTATCATAACTGAACCAAACCAAAAACATGATATCTCAACGATCATGCACACCATCATTAGCAACATAAACATGCCTTTCATTCACACAATACTAATACATCCATCCATCACAGGTTCACTGCTACATACACACCCATGTGCGTTAGCCAATAATCACTTATTCCGGGATTTGACTCATTTTCAAAATAATTACAGGTTTTAGGAAATCTTTTCATTTTATAAAATAGAGCATTAAATTTAAGAAATAACGTCCAAAATGGCACTCAAAACGGACTTACGGTTTGAAAGTTATGAATTTTCAAAGTTTAATATTTTTCAAAAAGTTACAGCAGAACCCGGTTCCTACATATGCAGGAACCGGTTCCTGCGAAGTTCAAAAATCACGCTTCTGGAAAAATGTATGGGAACCCGGTTCCTGCCTATACAGGAACCGGTTCCTACGTGCATTTTTCCAGTTTTTATAAATTCACACAGTGGAACCCGGTTCCTCCCCACTGGGAACCGGTTCCCACGACCTGCAGAGTCAAATTCTGCACTTTTGACAACATTTATTCATTCTAAACCAATTCCAAACATACCCATACGAATTGCAACATGAGAAACACCAAAACACATCCATTTTGCACCATTATAACATCAAACAACATTATTTCATCATTCCTTTTTATCATCTGACACCCTAATGGTTTTCAACCTACAATTCGACGCAATAGGGACAATTCTACAGAATCCTAGAATTCCAAACCTGGATTCCCTAACATACTATGATCCATACTATTGAATATCTAAACCGATAATACGAATTAACTAATCGAAATCACCCCTTACCTTGTGGGTTCTTCGAATTCTGACGCTTCCGGTTTTCTCCTTCTTTTTCCTCTTCTCAAATGCACGTATTTTCCCCTTCTTATTCCAATAAAATAATTAAATTAGTAATTAATAAGAGTAGAGTATTTTACCCCTCACACCCTCTAATCACTCTTCACACCACCAATACTTCTTTCCTTTAATTAATTAAATTAATTCCAATAATCCAAAAATACCAATAATTAAATTTCCAATTAAATTAATAATTAAAAATTCTAATTATTTAATAATCGGATTATTTGGGGTGTCACACTATGGAAGTTCACCTGCAAAACTGAAAAGTGAAAATGGCAACAGAGGTTAGGGATGTTACAGTTGGTGTTTAGGGATTGGAATAGTTTCAGTGGATGGTAGGGAATGTGTTTGAACAAGCTTTGGCCAAAACGCACGAGTGGATTGAGTTATGGAACTCAATCTGCAGCAGGTACCCTGTTTTGCAGCAAAACTGTGATTTGGTGAATGAGGAGGTATTGAGGATGAAGGAATCGTGTTTTAGGTCAGTTAGGATGTGTGGAAGATGTTCACAAAGTTGGTTTTTGCTTATGTTTGCAGGAAATGAGAGATGTGTATGTTTTGCAAACTTTCTTGTTTTTGAAGTAAGATGGTTCAAGTCCTTATGCAGGCCTGTGTACCCTCTCTATCTATGCTGCACAAATTGCTCTTGATCAGTGGGATTTGTGGATTTGATTTGGCTCCAAGATCTGGCCCCATGCCTCCAAGATTTGGAACTTGACATAAAGTATAACTTTATCAAAATGGCATGTTTGCTTTTTCTACTTAAGGGATAATTCTATGTGTAATGACCAAATGCACAAAACAATGCTTGAAAACAATGGTTAGGCATTTAATTATGGAGTGCAAACTTGGTTTAGAGGCCTGAAAGCAAGTACCAAGCATGCTGATTTGAAAATGAAACTTGTATGAACATGTATTTGGTTATGAACAAAAGTGAATTTTGCCCAACTTTGCAAATTCGATTCTCCCTAACCACAATGATGTTTGAGAAGTTCTTGGACAATTTGGAAAGCTTGGAATGTGTACTACAATCCATATTTTTAATGAAAATTGAAACTCCAAGTGGAAGCATGTGAAAAATGGCCAAGAAGTTGGACAAAAATCCTGCCTAGAATAGGTCAAAATTTTTCTAAGTTAAAAATGTTTTACACCCTTGTTCCCAAAATCATAACTTGAGATACAAGCTTCCTTTGAGAAAACTTTGTGAATAAAAGTTGTAGATTTTGCAATAGACTACAACTTTAATGTTTCAAGTTTTGTTTGAATCCATTTGCATCTTAGTGAAAAAATGGGACAAAGTTAGGAAAAAATAAGGAAGTTTCATAACTTAGAAAAATTCTAAGATGAAATTTTCTCATTTTAAACCCTAATTTGCAAATTTGGGTTTCTTTATGAACAAATTTCATAATTTGACATGTCTTGATGAAAAATGAATCTTGGCACTTGATTTTGACCAAAAAGTCAAAGTTTGACTTTTCAGTATACAGTCAAATTTTGATCAATTGACTGAAAAATTCATCTGTCAATCCTATGCATTTGAGATCTTTTGAACTTGTTGAATGTGTCAAGACAATGCCATTGAGTCCTTGAGTCCATATGTGAGCTTGGTTTGCCATTGGTTAGGTCAAACAGTCAAAATTTGCCTTTGTGCAATCAAAACCCTAAAAATGACCATTTTGCCCTTTTGGTGATCTGATCAAATTTCTTGTGGAATTGTAATCCAAACTTGACCAAATGGTTCATATGAGTTCATTATGTTGATGTGGGTCAAAAATCATGAAGTTTGACTGTCAATTGGCCACCGTTGACTTTTTCCCTAATACAGCTGATTTCTAGGTCAACTGTCCAATTGACTGGGCAAAGATTGGAATCAAGGCTTGAAACTTGGTATGGATAAACTTGTAAGTCCAACATGAAGCATGAAAGTCACTTTGGGCATTTTAGGTCAAAATATCCTTGTGCAAACTCAAACCCTAATTTGGGTCAACAGTGCAAGGAGAAGTCTTGAGCAGAGCAAACCCTAACTTGATCTTGAATATATGAGTCTTGTGATGAGAAAATGTTGATGAAATGAGAGGGAAAATTTTGGGGTATAACAGTCTCAATATCTAGAAAAACAATATAACTTTAAGATTAAGCATAATCTCTGATTCCTCAATCTTGGGTGCCACATAGGATTACTTAATACTCTCAGAATATTCAGTAATCATTAATTAAACCAAATAAATTTAATATGCAAAACTACAACAGACAAGATGTCGAGACTTTGTGTTGGGACATCTTGTTCAACATATTGCTGTCAAGTTAGTTTTTACCCAAATTAATGTCAATCATAAAAATAGAGAATTAACACATTGTTTTTGGGCTTTTCTTGGAAGCAAGCAAACTCAAAATTATAAATAGGGAGTAACCTCTATTATTGTAATATATCAACACAGATGCAAATTTTGATAATAATATTCAGTTTGAATAGTAGAGAGAAACTCTGCAGGAATTCTCTTATTCCCTTATTTTGCTGAAACCCTAATTTTTTTCTTCTTCCATTATTTATTGTGCAATATAATCATCTTGCAACCAAGGATTGTTGATTCACTCGAGTGGAAACTGAATAACAAGAAATGAATTTGATCGGTTGAGTGAATCTTTTTCATCAAGATTGATTCGTAATTCTCCATAGGTTTGATGCAATTCCAACATCTGATATCTAATGCACTGGCTGAGCGATTCGTGGGAAGCGAAACCTGATGGTAATGAATCATTCGAATTAGCAGTTTCTGGCGAGTCTCCCAATTCTGAAGGGTCTGAATTATGAGAATTAGTGTAAACAGCTGAAGATTATTTTCAATTTACAACATTTTAAACTAAAAGTAATCTAGTTACCAAAAATAAAACATTTTCCTAAAATAAAACGAAGCTTAATACATTATAATTAAACATCAATATTAATCATGGTTTCCCATTTTCCCTCCTCTCTCTCTCTCGCTAAGTTTCCGATTGTTGTCAAAATGGTGGTGATCGTGAATTCTGGTTCAACATTGAGGAAACAGATTTTTCCAATTGATTTCAAAACATAAATGTCACAGTCACGACTTCTTGTAGATGTTGTTCATCATGGTGACACATATACTGCAATAGAATGTGTAGCGATGAGTTCATCTGTTGATGTTAACTTTATTGGAACTGTGTTGTTGAAGTCCAAAACTATTGAGATTACGCTTCATGATGAGTCATCTCATCGAGTTAACTCGGTCTATCAGGAGTTCAAAATTGAAGTTACTGCTATATTTTTGGCTGCACATTCCAAAAACTTGACTCTCCTTCGTAATCTAATGGTATGTAACAATTATGAGAAATTCAATTTTAGTTCAACATCACTTATCTTTTGAAAATTATTTGGATCAACATATTGATGAATTATAAAGAGAGCTTTATAATTCTTCTTCTTCAATTATTTGTGTGCAACTTTTTCTTCATCTGTCGCGTTTTCTTCAAACGTTATAAATCTCTCTTTATAATTCATCAATGTGTTGATCCAGATAATTTCGAAAAGCTAAGTGATGTTGAATAAGCGAGAAAAAAAAAAACATTGGAAATTATAGAAAAATTGTTTGGAGGTGCAGAAAAGGTGAAAGAGGTGAGTGTTGTACCCCAAATTTTACTCCGAGTTTTCTCATTTACATTTTTTATATATCCGAATTATTTTATCCGCATCGTGGCATTTTTCGTATATTTTTTTATCATTTTATCTCAATTTCAATTTTTATTCGATTTTTCTCCTAGGTTTTTATTTTCGTCCTTTATTTTACAATTAAGAGAAATATTATAAAAATTTGTATATAGAAAAAATAATATTTATTTAGTTTACTTATTTTTATCAATATTTGGTTTTAGTTTAGACTTTATTATAAACAAATGGTTATAAAAAAAAGATTTACATCTGTTTTATATTAAGTTTGTTTTTAGGTATTATAAAAAGATCTATATGAAGGCTTCTTTGGTCTTTGACCCGAACCTCACCACTTCCATTCCAAAACCTTGAAATTCCATCGACCAATTTCACCCCTCTTATCTTTGAATCTGCATACATCAAACACCGGTTCCGCCAGCGACCTCCTCCGTAATATACCCTCTCCATCATCATCAAGTACGACTATTCCCTTCTCCCTGCTTCAACCTCCTTTATGGTCAATCTCCTCAACCATAAATCCCTCTATTATCACATCTATTAGCATCCTCACAACATCAACCTTCCTTCACACTTCCTCATCGCCATCATCATTCTCCAACCCAACGAGATCTCTCTTCCACACATCACATCTCTTCATCTAGCTATTCTTCCACCCTCTATTCTCCACCGCTCTAAACACCAATCACCATCGTAACTTCTATAAGAACCATATCCTCTAATTTCATCGTTAATCGCCATTATTGTATACCCAGCTGTGGTACTTCCAACATATCACAACCTTCACCATTACAAGCTTTCTCTGTATTCTGCAAAAGCAACTTTTCATCTTTGAGCAACGTCACTGTGAATTTGATTTAACTCCCTTCGCTTAACTCACCAGGACGACACAGACCTCTCTCACTTCTCAGCTTTCAATAACACTCTTTATGTCAAGTTGGTAAATTCTAATATCCCTATTTTTGATTGAGATTAATTTGTGGTATTGCTTTAGTAATAAGGGATAAAGTCTTGATGATGTTTAACTTGTGTCGATTTAGCTTAATTTGGATGATAAATTTATATCTCGATTGTCAGACTGTTTTGAAAGATGGATTGATGGTGTGTTTGTTGTTAAGGTGTTAAAAATGTGAATAGATATTATTGAATTGTGTTCATATTTTTGGTATTGTTTAGTTCAATTCAAATGTTGAAGTTGATGATGTTAATGTCATTTAGTTTGTGTTAAATTGCATTTAAGTTTTGATGGTGAATTTCCTGCTAACGTGATTGGTTTTTGAGCTGAGTATCCTTGTAATCTCGATGTCAATGTTACATTTCATGTTAATTTGGTTTGTGATAAACTTAAGTTTTAATGTTGAAAATTGGAATTTTACTCGGTTCGATTTGGAATGGTAATTTAGTTGTTGGTGTTTATGTTGATTAAAGTTTATTGTTGTCGTGTTGTTTGAGATAATTGGAAGGAGATTCGGTTGATGTCTGTTGAATGATTCTTTTTGAAGTCAAAAGATTAATTCGATTACGACATCACTTTAGTTGGTTTTATTTTGAGTAAAACTTTAATGTCGTGTTGTTGTAATTGTATCATTTTTTGAAAGAGTTGAGGGATGGGTGTGGTCAATGGGTTATTGGCAGAATTGGGGGACTAAACACTTGCATGTCGTCTTCTATATCTCAAGATCACCGAAATCTTAAATAAAAAATGATCTCCTATAGCATCAGAGCTCTTGTCGACAGTGACACTGCAATCAAGGTTAGACATATTATCGCTCATATTCGTACGACTTACAACTACACTGTATCTTGTAAAAAGGCATGAATCGTAAAGAACAAAGCAATTGAAGCTATTTATGGAAATCAGGAGGCCTCATACAACAACCTCCTACAATGGTTGTTGGTCACGCAACAATTTCTTCCTGGAACCGTCATAGAACTTGAAACACTGCCTGTATATTTAAATAAAGAAACACATATTGGTGGTGCAAGAATTTTCCATTGCCTAATTTGGGCCTTTCAACCTTGTATTAGGGGTTTCGCACATTGCAAACCAATTGTGCAGGTAGATGGTATGTGGCTATATGGAAAAAATAGTGTCACATTGTTCATGGTTGTTGCACAGATGGGAACGGTAACATTTTCCCAATCGCCTTTTGGTTGAAGGTGATACGGGAGGGGCTTGGAGTTTCTTTTTAAATAATTTGAGACTCCATGTCACACCCCAGACAAATATATGTTTGATATCTGACCGACATGAGTCGATAAAGAGTGTCTACAATAACTCGGACAATGGCTGGTAGAACCCTTAGTTGGTACATGTGTATTGCTTTAGGCACATTGCACAAAACTTTATACGAGCTATAATACGGTGTAAGAACTGACTTGGTTGTTTTGCGTTTGATCGCAATTGTTGCGGATAGCAAGAGTCACCATCGACTTTTCTTTTATCCAATAAGGAAAGGGTGAAAAGAACAGGAAATACCTTTGAGATATTTTCTTGAGTTCGGGGGTAGGTTATGAAAAGGGAAGGTGTTAACACCCTTTTCATATATAGTTATCTATGGGCTCTTAGTTGCTTGCTAGATCACTTTTGAAATTGTATTGTTTGAAAAGTGTTTGTGGTGGGTTTTGAAAGTATTTTTTAAAAGCGCATTTGTTTAGGCAAACTTTGTAATGATTCTCGTTTCTATAAGAATGCATACAAAGTGTTGGATTTTTGAAAATATTTCATGTTTTGAAAGTGTTTAGTGTATTTGAAAAGATGTTTGTTTTTGAAGATGGATTATGAGCAAGCAACTAAGAACGTTCTACCTACTGAAAAGTCTTTTGTTCATTTCTCCCTTCCTTTGATATTGTTATCTCACCATTGATTGGTAAGTAACCTTATCTTTGGATGTAAAGGGACGAGCGTGAGTCATCGTATAGTCATAAGATGCAATGTTGTGAGATACCTTAGCATATTTCTTAAGGGTCTAAGATCATTTGTAAGGCAACATTCGAAGCGTCATCGAGGGACTATGATATTGTATTTTTTATTGTTCTTTGCTAAGGCGTCTGACATGCATAACATGACCATTTTCTCAAGGAAACAAGTGGAGTTAACCCTAGAGGTGCAAAGTGTGCAAGTGTTTGTATTTCATACTTAGTTTATCTTTGATTAGGGTTTTCTAAGCACTGATTTTATCTTTCCATACAAATCCTAATTACTAGCATTTATATGAAAGCGGTAAATTGCGGAAAGTAAATATCCTATGTTATTACATCATTTAGGGATGGGGTGTACAAATTTACAAATGAGGATTGCAAGAAATTAAACCTAATTATCTATTACAACCATATTGAACTTGAATAATGTACAAGAATTGAAACGTATATAATGTACAAGACATGAATGAAAAGAAAATGAATTAGTTTTGATTTTGTTAAAGAAAATATTTTAACCTAATTTTCTAAAAAAGATAAATAGTTAGAAGTAAGAAAATTAAACTAAGTTAATTTTAATTTAAACGAAGAGAAAGAAATAAACCTAAATTTAATATGAAGTTTAAAGAAAAGAAATTAAATCGGAAAATGTTTTTGGTCTTTTTATTTTAAGAAGTTGAATAAAAAATAAACTAAATAATTTAAATACTTAATATAATATTTTTGGTGTTTTTGATTAATAAAAATAATAATAAGAAGGAAAGAAAATAAAAATATAAAATAAAAATCAAGGGGGGGGGGGGGGGGGGTGGGGTTTAGAAAGAGGAAAGGAGAAAGCCCATAAGTTCTGGCCCAAGTGCGCTACTAACAAGTAAATGGGGGAATGATGCTGGAAGCAGGAAATGAGAAAGCCTAGGGGGGGGGGGGGGGGGGGGTTAGAAAGAGGAAAGGAGAAAACCCATAAGTTCTGTCCCAAGTGCGCTACTAACAAGTAAATGGGGGAATGATGCTGGAAGCAGGAAATGAGAAAGCCTAGAAGTTCTGGCCCAGGTGTGCTACTAACAAGTAAATGGGGGAGTGATGTTGGAAGCAAGAAATGAGAAAGCCTAGAAGTTCTGGCCCAGGTGCGCTACTAACAAGTAAATATGGGAATGATGCTGGAAGCAGGAAATGAGAAAGCCTAGAAGTTCTGGCCCAGGTGTGATGTTAACAAGTAAGTGGTAGGATGCTAGAAGTAGGAAATGAGAAAGCCTGGAAGTTCTGGCCCAGGCGTGTTGTTAACAGGTAAATGGTGGGATGCTAGAAACAAAGATGAGGCTGCCTAGAAGTTATGGCCCAGGCATATTGTTAACAGGTAAATGAAGCAAGAATGAGAAGGCCTAGAAGTTTTGGTCTAGGCGTGCTGCTAACAGGTAAATGGGATAAAATGTTAAGAAATAAAAAAAACAAAAAGGTGCTCCTGGGGCTAGAACCCAGGACCCTTAACACTAGTGCCTTACGCATGCGCTCTCTACCATTGGGGTGACTATACATTCGGTATTATAAATAAAACCATAAATATGTATTACAAAATCAGTTCTGATGATGAACTTCATCTTCTTCCTCGCGCTATCTAGAGCATCTGCAACTCATTCATTTCTCAACCAATATGGAAAATGTAAATGTGAAAGTTATGGAAAATTTCATCATGACTCCATAACTATAAAGCACTAAAACTATAAATAAAAAACAAACATGAATTTTTCTATCCCTAATCTGAACCCTAATTTTTCAAGAAGTTGTAATCCTAAATTCTCTCTACTCATGCCATATAAATAAAATCTATAGATATGTACAGTTTTAGAGCAATGATATCTACATTTTTTCTTTGAAAATGCAAGCCTAACAATGCCTAAATAATGAGATGAAAATCAGAAGAACTTACCTTGCAGCCGATGATCATGTTCTGAACTAGAGCTTGATTCAAGTTGCTGTGATGATCTGGTTAGCTTCCTCAAGTTCCCAGGAAGCTAATGCAATGGTTAGCTTGAGCTATTGATCGCTAGAATGTTCTGGAGAAGTCAATATGCAATGCTTTGTTTTTGAAAATGGAGATTGGTAAAGATGATGTAGAGGTTGGGATAACTTTTATATGTGTATCAGAAACGCCCGAGGGATTTTGGAGATTGGATTCAAAAATCAGAAATGATAAGTTTTTGTGCTTGTGTTACAATTTCTGGTTCTATGGAGTTTTAGCGAGTTCCAGGGCTGGTCCCATCCTCTCTTTAGTTTACAAATGAAGGTTTAATTTATAGGCAAAGAGTATGGATGCTTGGTGAAGTCAGAAGTACAAAATCACATGTTGTGGATTTTGACTTGTTGTTGAAGCAAGCTTAGACAAACATGGTTCCAAGGAAAGATATGGTGGCTAGCAACTTTAAACACGCCTGTTCTGAATTTGTAGGGGATGCTTGTGCAGAAAGAACAAACACAAAGCTTAAGGAGAGTGGACTTTGTGATTAAAGTCACTTTTCCAGAATAGAAGTGTGAACTTTCTTTCTTAAATAGAAAGGTGTATTGGACAAAGCTTAAATCAAGTGGTTCATACCTCAGAAGTTTGTGTAATATTCTTATTAAGGATATATACACACGCTAGAGGGCCTGAAAAGTGGGATTATGCAACATTGCTTGGAATTGGATCAGATGTTCATCATGAAAATAACTCATAGCTTAAGAACGAATGTCC